TTCCTAGGTGGCCATACTAGGAGGTAGCCTGCTAAGCATGAGGTCTGCTAATCCGAGTCCCTGAATTGGACTTCACCACCATGTTTGAAGTGATTCTGACAAATGGAGAATTTTAAAGCAATTACCAATTAACACCATCTGCTGTGTGGATACTTACACTAATCTGTGCTAAGCTATTATACAAAGTAAAAGTCAATATTTATGTTAGGACTTGATACTATCTACAGTGCTGTAAGGAAGTCTTGAGCCACCCCTTATCTTTATATCATTAATGACATTATTAGAAAAGGAAGATTGATGCAAACGTACATAGAAATACAGTATATAAAAGGCAAAAAATATACAATTCCAACAAGCTTGAAAGTCAGTATTTTGTATGAGCAACTCTCTTAGACAGCTTTCTTGTAATACATAATAATAAGACTTGTAATAAGTAGTCTCCGGGAATAGTTCTCGAGGCTTCCTGAAGGAAATTCAAAGTCCTTCTTTGGATATTTGCTGCCTTTTTTTCAATTCTCTATCAAGATGATCCCACACTGCTTCAATAATGTTAAACTGGGAAGGCCAATTGATAGTGTGTTTGGGATCACTGTCATGAAGCCGTTGCCAATCAGATGCCTTCCAGCATTTTCTTTTCCTGTGTTGATAATTCAGTCAATTCTGACTTCCTGTCCAACACCACTGGTTGAAAAGCAGCCCCAAACTATGACAGAGAGCCCACCATGTTTTACAGAATGTTGCGGACACTGAGTTTTAGACCTCCTCTGTACATGTTAATGACAATTTGAATGAAAAACTTCAAATTTGGATTCATTACTTTACAAGACCTTTTGAACAGATTCAGTCCAGCTGAATACCTAACCCGTTCCTCCCTGTTTCCCTTTCTTCCTCCCTTCCTTCCTGCCACCCCTCCACTGAGACAGTTCTTGACTGAAGTAAAGAAATGTGCTGTGGAGTAACAAAGTGCCTGAAGATTCAATTTCAAATTGGTTGTTTGCCAAGTTGTCTGTCGATGATAAATGGCACATGGTACAGATCCATCCCTTGCGTAAGGTAAGGTCTCTTTTCATGCTCGAATGATTCATCGTGGCTTAACAAACAAAGATTCCTCTGAGAAAGGTCAGGTACAAGGACTGGACTGAAAATAAGCAAAATAGATGCCAGTGATCAAAGAAGAGCACTGAAAGGCCTTCAGGAAGCCAGGAGAACTATTGCTCAAGAGCACTTAAAAAATGTCAATAACATCTAACATCAGGAAGCAAAATATAAAGAAACGGGATAGTTTAAGAATTTTGCACAGTACTATAACATGAGATTTCATAGCAGTAGCTCATAACGCAGTGAGTGGTGTTATGTTTTACATACAGTCTAAACTTGACACTACAAATTGAGCTGGGTTTTTAATATTGTATCTGTATGGGCATATTATGAAACACTGTATTAAAATCGGTCCTTTCATAAACAGAACTTTTACACTTTATTTAAGCACATCTACAAACCTTTATGTCCTCTAGCAAGTCGTCCATGTCAGTGACCGTGAGCCCATTGAGGAACGTGTATGGTTCGTGCATTTCCACTGCCAAATCATCATCTTCTGCACTGATGTACTTCGCCAAAAGGTCGATCGGCTTCGCGCGGCCGTCACGAATTCTAATCTTAGACCTGCAGAGACAAAGAACAAGGGTGTGAAGCAGGGTTAATTAGATAAATAGATGTAGAAGGTGGAAGTTTAAACAAACTGATCCAATCATAGTGGAGTAAGAGCCACACTAACCTTAGTTTGGCCTGATGCAGATGGAAGTTGTCTTCCTGTTCAGCCCAGGTCTTGAAATATTCTGCCTCTTTCTCTCTCTGCAGCATTTCCAGCTCCTGCTCTCTCATGGCCTTCTCTCGCTCCCGCTCCAGACGCAGCTGCTTCACCTACATCAACATAAAGTTGGTGTATAAATATGTGGCTCCCAATCTCTAAACTTAAAACTGATCCTCCATGTTTTGCCTGGGAACTAAATTCGATCCCTTTTTTAAGCTTTTGTATAAAAAGTCAGGCACTGTGTGAGCACTAATGTGGAAGATTTTTATCCCACAGTTCTTACCTTCTGCAGCTCTCTACGGTTCTCCTCCTGAATACATTTGTTCCTTTCTTTGAGCTCTTTCTCTCCGAGATGACCAATACCTTTCTTATCTAACGCCTGAGGAAGCAAAAAGAACCGTGGATGGGATACAAGGTCTCAAAGGCAGGTTATGACAGGCAAATATCCAAACTTTTGCAGTCAGGAACTCACCTTTTGCCATTTAAATGTCCCCAATAAGTTGTTGTCCCCAAAAGGATTGTCTGCATTGGTGTATCCCAGGTACTCCTCACTCCAGCCCATCTTCTCTCTCCTTTTCTTCTCCTTTGCTTCCTTCTTTGCCAACCTTCTCGCCCTCTTCTCCTCTGGCGTCTCAAGAGCTTTCATCATCTCCTTCTGTTTTTTCCTCTCCTCCTTTTCCTTGAGTGCGCCTCTCTCGCAATCAGACTCTGAGCTCTCAGATGACTCACTCGAACTGAAGTGCTGCTTGCCTCTGCCCCGGTCAGACTTCTCTTGGCTTCTCTTACTCCTCCCGCGCTCCCTGTCTTCACTTTTCTTCCTTCGCTCTCGACTTTTGTCGCTGTCTCTGCCACTGTTCTTGTGCCTCTCTTTCTCTCTGTCCCACTCCCTCCTGTGTCTGTCTCTCGGTGGACTCCCTCTCTCAGGACTCCTTCTTCTTCTCCTTTCTCTGTCGCCGCTTCCATCATGGGAGTCAGAACTGGACTGGGATCTTCCCTTTCTCCTCTCTCGGGATGTTGCTCTACGACTCTCCTGTTCCTTTCTCCTCCTTCTCATTTTTGTATTATCTGAATCAGGACTGAGACAGAAAGTGTGATTTAATACAGTAACTGCAGGAATACAATATTAACTACAGAAGAACCACATAACAGGAAACTCTGAAAGTAAGGTCCCATTGAATACAGTTAAAAACCTATTTATTATTATTTATTTTTTTACATGCAATGGAGTTACCATAACAAGTTGATATAGGGATTATATCTACAGAAGGTCTTTTCATTCACATAAAGACTAACACTAACGCCACTGAACATCAGCATTGCTATCAGTTGATTGGATTACTGTGCAGCAGCCTGGCACTCAACCAAGGATGGGACAAACATCGATACAGCAATATACTGTGCACACATCCCTTTTATGTATATTTTATGCAGTGACAACAAGCCTTATGCTGTACAATGATTTAAACCCTACCTACATCCAATTAAAAATCATACAGAACAACAAAAGATTCAATTCAGAAATATAATTTGCTTTTCAAAAAGAAGGGTTAATTTAAATTTGATTCCGGCAATACATTTTTAAAAAGCTGATATTGGGGGGGGGGGCGGGAACCCTGATGATCTAATAAGATGCCTTCTCCTTAGGGAGGGGACCCCGAGCTAGACCCAGAACCCACTGAAGAGATTATACATCTCACTTTGCCTGGAAATGCCTCAGTATCTCCCAGCAAGGACTGGAAAGTGTTGCTTGGGAGAAGGGAGTCTGGAATACCCTGCTTAGCCTGCTGCCACTACAACCTTCGGATGATTGATTGATGGATAGACAGAATATCTACGAAGGTCTCACTGGCATGTTGCCTTCTAGTAAGCAATACTGCGCCACACGCACTGGTGGTATGAGTTCTTCAAATAATAAAACAACAGACACATCTTTTTTCTTCCTTTTTAAATGTAAGGCCTTGCTCAGTTCTGCAAGTCAACATCAAATTATATTTAGCGCCTAAGCAAAAGCATAGATGCATGTTGATTCCTGGAATTCCCCCCAAAAAGGATAGTTTTTGTTGATGTCCTTTCGCTGTCGCAATTCGGACAGAAAAACGTTACGTTTACGGAGTCACTCGATGTGTTCAAATGAGGCCTGCTACTACCATCATAATATGTAAAATCCCAAGTAAGCAGCCAACTCCGCTTCGCAAAGAGATTACCTTGATGACCGACCCTTCGACCTGTTCCTCTGACTCTGAGTCTCTCGCCTCCGGTCGCTCTCCGAGCCGCTGCTGGAACCAGAGCGGCCCCTGTGCTGAGGCCGACGTCGGGCCGGAGAGCCATCGCTTGAGTCCCGACTGCAGGATCTTCCCCTACCACGAGCGGCCGTTTTCCCGTCGGCAGACCGACTGTGGTCTCTCCTCTCATCTGGGGATCTAGACTTGTTTCCTCTTGACTTGTTCAGCCGATCTCGGCTCCGACTTCTGGACTTGGAGCGAGCCAGACGTCGAGACTTGGAACTCATTGCGAACTTTCTCTCAATAGGGGGTCCCAACACCAGTTTGTCGCATAAATAAGATGTAACAAATGGGCCTTTTTAAGACATATTATGTTTGTACCAGGTTAAACGGCACTGGAACGATTAAAAAGCAAATAATGTCAATATTTCATATTTTTAGGTCATATTTTTAAAAATAAAAAATAAAATCAAACCGTTATATATTTAACTAGTTAACGGGGCAGCAAAGGGGCCCCTCAAAGGGGCTTTCTGTGAAATGGCGCGTATTATTTACGTCACGAGAACCTTGAGAAAAATAAACTAGAAACAAATGCCCCGCTGTTTATTAACTGCTGTTTTTATGAAATCCGCACCCCTCCTCGGAGTACCATCTGAATACAACTGAGAACCGTCAGTGTGTTGAAATAACTTCAGGCTGAAAACAGCTCAGAAGCACGAACAATATTTGGCGTTTTTGTGACGTCAGAAAGTGGCAAATGCAGTTCCCTAAATTCTCTCTCAAATAAAATGTTAAAGAATTATTGCTCTAAAAGCTATCATTTTTTTCTGGGTAAATTTAATTTTATATAAACTTATGTAATAAGACAGTTGAATGCGTCACCGCACGCCTTCTTTGCTGCTCTAAAGGGGAAAAATAATGTTGACAGGTGGAAATTGGACTACAAATCCCGCATATCACAGGGCGCCATTGCCTGTTTGTAGAGGAAAGGGGACTCCTTTCAGCAACATTCTTCTCTATCCTGTCTTCTCTTATGGCCGTATGAGCTATATTTTCCGGCTGTTGCCGTAAAGAATTTATGGGTTTGGGTATATAGGTGTGTTTTCTGTCCTAGCCTGGGTCTTGTATGCGGTTAGGAAGTATTCGCGCCGCGCTAGGATCGGTTCGATCTGGTTGGTGAGGTAGGGCTTGTTAGCTAGCTCCCATTAGCCTACAGCTATCAATAGATTTACGGCTTATATCCGCGGCTGTTCTGCCAGGTAGATCAGCTAAAGCTGGAGGCGCGGGTCTGACACAATGGTTGGTCAGTTGCAGATTTCTCCGAGTGTTGACATTGGTAAATAATTCCTCTGTTTCGGGGACAGATCAACGCCACCTTTGTTTGGCTCGAGCACAGCCTGACACGTTTGGCCTGTTTTATTGTCTCGGTACTGTTGTTGTTGTTTTCGGGGTAGGCTGCTTGGCTTATTAGGCTAACTTTGCCGTGTTCGCGTGAACAGAAGGAAACTGTCCGCTGTTCACTCCAGAATATCCCGACAGCCACCCAGACCTCCACCAACAACAACATTATGGCGCAACCCGACGCCCCTCATGTAGCCAGTTCACAGAAAGCACTCATGCTGGAACTGAAGAGCCTTCAGGAGGAGCCCGTGGAGGGATTCAAAATAACACTGGTGGACGAGGCTGATTTATACAACTGGGAAGTGGCCATTTTTGGACCACCAAACACTCACTATGAAGGGGGATATTTCAAGGTAAGAAAGCCAAAGTGGTGTGATTACTTCACTTAATGTAATACAATACACAGGCTTTACTGAATGAATAAAGATTGCCACACAACTCAAGCCCCAAAGGTCTCTTTTTGTCCTAGGCTCGAATCAAGTTTCCTCTAGACTACCCTTACTCCCCTCCGGCTTTCCGCTTCCTCACCAAGATGTGGCACCCCAACATCTATGAGGTAACAACTTGACATACTTGAATGCCCTCCCACTGCTGTTTGTGATGGGAGCAGCTGTCCTAGGCTTGCCTCATGATTCATATGATCAAATACCACTTGCATCATGGGGCCCATTAGACCCATTAAAAAAAAATGTGTTTGTTTGTTTCTGAAGCCTTTATTGGATCAGCGCCACCATACATATCTGAGCTGCTGACATATGTTCCCTTAAGGTTGCTGGTAGTTAATTGATTGACTGCCAGCAACCTTAAGGTGTTCAACCCAGCTGAAAACATCAGGCAATCAAGCTCCATAATCTCTCCGTAAGGGGGGATTGGCTTTTTTTTAAATATATATTTTGTGTGGTGTGTTTAGTATTTTTATACAGGACTTAATCAGATTCCTGTTTTTTTTTTTTTGTTTTTTTTTAAAAAGTGCTCTATAACTAAAATTTGACGGAATCACATTTGAAGGAGCTTTCTTTCCCCTCTGTGTCTTTTAGAATGGAGATGTGTGTATTTCTATACTGCACCCGCCAGTGGACGACCCACAGAGCGGAGAGCTGCCTTCAGAGAGATGGAATCCCACCCAGAACGTCCGGTTAGCACTCCCTCATTATCTCTCATGTCTCTCCTTTCTTGGGTACCTCCCGTCTTTGTCCTGTCTCAGCCACTTCAATAATTTACCCAAGTCAGAGTCTTATCGCATGACATTCGTCTTCATTGGCTTCTTTTTACTTGTATCTAGAAACTGAATCCATATGTGGGCATTCAATGTATTATACACTTTGTTAGTTAAAGCAGTCGCCTGTTGTTTTTTGCAGTATGGAGGCATTATCCATGCACAAGTTATTACACAAAAATACAAAAGTCACCATTTCTGAACATGCTGAACATTCAGTGACAATCTTAGCGTTGTTTTGCGTTGTTGTCTTCGGACAGGGGTCGGCAACCTGTGGCTCCGGAGCCACATGCAGCTCTTTAGTCCTTTTATAATGCGGCTCCGCGTGGTTTGGGAAAATAAATTAGAAGTATTTAGCTGAAGTGTATTTTATTTATGTTACTTCTTTTTTAACGTGTAGTTCTAAATTGTTAGATTATTGTGATATTGAAATATGAAAGTACAATTAGATTCTATTATTATTTCATCGCTCAAAATAAGCGTCACACTCGCGGAAGCCGGTATACCTGCAGTAATGCCGTGCCTTTTATTGAGACTTTCAACCCCAGATAGGCCAATTATGGATCTTCGGATCCACATAATGTCAGCAGCTATTCTCCACCGTGAACTATGTTAAAAACAAACACCGCTCACGCCTCACAGATGACAGCTTACAGTCTTGCGTAAAGATGAAAGTAACTTCGTACAGCCCCGATTTGCAGACGCTGTGCGCAGAGGTTCAGGAGCAGAAGTCCCGTTGTAAACATACCACGGCAGACCCGACGATGTTTGCATGAACATGCTTTTCAGCATCTCTTTATTGACCACTTTTCACACACGGTTGCTGTACGCCAGAATAATTAGCATTATATCCATAATTGGAGACTCTTTAAATTCACCCAATACTAAAATAAAATATGTTTTAAAAAAATGAACATAAGGGAGAAAGTAGAAATTAGTTCCTTTTTTTTTTTTTTTTTTTTTTTTTTTTTTTTTTTTTTTCTTTTTGTTTTAATTCCCATAACCTGTCCTGCAGTAGATGCCATGCTGACTGCCACCTTTGTGTTTGCTTCCAGGACCATTCTGCTGAGTGTGATCTCACTGCTGAATGAACCCAACACCTTTTCTCCTGCCAATGTGGATGCGTCTGTCATGTACCGCAAATGGAGAGACAGCAAAGGCAAAGACCGGGAGTATGTGGAGATCATCAGGTAAACAGTTTGCATGATTCACAGTTCAAAGAAATGGTGTAAACTCACTCGCTGTGCAAAACAAGTCATTTCATGTCAGATGTATCCCGTAGTTATGGAGAAGATTTTACTGATTCAGAGGGTCAAACTAATGCCTTGCATCAAGCAGAGAAATACAACTGTAGTGATTGTTGAAACAGCTAAAACTGTCCAGTGCATTATTAAAACTTGGTGAACCGCCATTCTTCTGGGAATAAATGTGTTCAGAAAATAAAAATCTTGAATGTTCAAAGCTGGAGTTCACTTAAACATTTGGCAAAATCAAATTGTGAAAGAGTGTTAGCAAATCCACTGCAGGTGTTTTTTTAAGTGCCCCAAAAAAACCTCCAGAGGGAAGTACCTCGGAGGCGACCTAACCAGATGACTGTTGTGGGTGTGTGGACTCTGTACTTGTAAAATATTGATAGCATAAAGGTAACATTTTGCACGGCTTCAATCATGTAGCAAAAGATCCGCTGACTGTTGGCGGATAAGGTGGGAACTTTTCTTCAGATTTGGTTGATCTTTTATGGAAAGACAGAAAATGATAGTAAATCTCCAGCTGTTTGTAATGACGCCACTCTGATCTCCCCTCAGAAAACAAGTGTTGGCTACCAAGGCTGAAGCTGAGCGCGATGGTGTGAAAGTGCCCACTACGCTGGCGGAGTACTGCGTCCGCACACGCGCCCCAGCCCCCGACGAAGGCTCCGACCTCTTCTATGACTATTGCTACGACGAAGACGACGTGGAAGGCGAGGATGGCGACTGTTGCTATGACGAAGACGACTCGGGCAATGAGGAGTCCTGACGCGCTTTTTTTGCGGCACCCCGATCTTAGCTGACGTGTGCTACCCTTCCTCTCTCTGCCCGGGTTGCCAGATATTCTAGGTTTACAACCAAGAAAGATTGGAAGCTTCCCTCCTCTAAACCAACACAGAGCTTTTTTCCTCTCGCCTCTGAATGCGTCTTGGAGGTTGAAATTGATGCCTTGCTGAGGAAGGCTCTGACCTGGTAAGATTTGCACCAGCACAAAAGTCACCAGTTTCTTCAGTTTTTATCATCACCTAAATCCTTACTTTGAGGAAAACAAAACAAAAAAACATAACTCTCACATACCCTGCCGAGTTTCTCAGTCCCATGTATAGTGTAAGGTGTTGTGGGGTTAAAAAAACAAACAAAAAAACCCAACTGTCAACAATAGCAACATTTGCACTGGTGCAAACACTTCCAAACATTTCTCAGCCTGTCTTTTGCATATCTTTCTTTCCCTAATTGTAACTGGCTATTGCTCACTGCTAGTTGGTCACAGTGATGAACAGAAGATTGAGGACTTCAAACAGCACGTTTGGTGTGCTGCAAATATTCTGTTTTTTGTTTTTTGGTTTGTTTGTTCTTTTTTTTTTCTCCCCTCTCCCAAGTGTCACAGTCTGTTCCGCTTTGATAGGACAAGACCTTAATTGTCACATGACGATGTTTTCAAAGTTCCTGTGCATGCCGGAACTTCTTTTCAAAGCTTTTTGTCTCTTTTACTGGTGGACCGTTTATCTACGTCATGATCCGCGTGATGACAAAGACTTCAACAACAAGGACTCTCTGCCCGGAGGACCGGCTGGCTCAATCGGAAGGTCAAATCCTCACGTGAACTTTTTTTTTTTCTTTTTTTTTTTTTTCCTAACATGAAGTTGATCTTTGCCGTGTTTTCTTCTGGTTACTGTTGGATGTATTTCTCCTGTCATTTTAAGTGTAGGGTTGTGTTATTTGAAGTAGTTCAGATTAAGAGTTGTGTAGGATGATCACGAGGGAGTTGTTGGGGCGGAGCTAATTATTGATCAGAATTGCATTTCTCCTCGGGGGAGGTCACTCGCTGATGGGCCCCACTTGACCCAAAGACCAAAAGAAGTGTGTTTTAAAGAAAGCCCAAAACATTTGGTAACCGTTTGTCGCACTCTGTTTGCTCTTTGTGTTCTCTCTTGCAAGCTTGTTTTCATTTTACTGTTTTCTTCAGATAGATGTTATGCCTGTGTTTTGTTTTTTTGTTTTCTGCTTGAGAATGAGTTATGTGATGACGAGATTATTAGGTTTGATTGACAGAAACAATTGTAGGTATTGTCTCATAATCTATGATCCCACACTTCTCAACAAGGTTTTTTTTTTTTCTTTTCTTTTCTTTTTTTCTCCTGCCAGTCCTCGGAAGTGAACAAGACCATCATGTTTTATTCTTCCATTGCTATTCTGTCTTAGTTGGGATTGGACTTTTTTCTTCTTTTTTTCTTCAAGAGTGTGTGTGTGGGTGTGCTCTGTGTGAACTTTTTCATCAGCAATATTGATTGTTTTAATTAAATTGGGAAGTCATACTGAATTTCTCAGGATAATGAATTACATGTGACACAACAATTGAGAAAAAGTAACTATTTTCCTCTTTCGGTGGTCTTCAGTGTTGGTTTGCATCTTTAACAGGAACCGTGACAGATATGCACATATAGCTGTATGAATGATTACTATGTTGTTTTATTCACCTGTGTATTTTTTTTTTTTTTTTTTTTCAGCTATTTAAAAACTGAAAAAATAAAGATTTATTTGGAAGAAAAAAAACCCACAGTGCTTTTTCTTCTGTTTGCCTGCATTTAAACGGGTTACTTTTTGTATTTTAAGAATTTTTGATATTTTGCTGCATAGCTATTTATAAAAAAGGTTATTATAAGGTAAAGGCTGCTTCTTCTTGATTCCTTAATACATAATTGGGGCGATTGTGGCTCAAGAGTTGGGAGTTCGCCTTGTAATCAGAACCGGTTCGAGCCCCGGCTTGGACAGTCTCGGTCGTTGTGTCCTTGGGCAAGACACTTCACCCGTTGCCTACTGGTGGTGGTCAGAGGGCCCAGTGGCGCCAGTGTCCGGCAGCCTCGCCTCTGTCAGTGCGCCCCAGGGTGGCTGTGGCTACAATGTAGCTTGCCATCACCAGTGTGTGAATGTGTGTGTGGATGACTGAACGTGTAAAGTGCTTTGGGGTCCTTAGGGACTAGTAAAGCGCTATACAAATACAGGCCATTTACAGGTTTCATGTTGGAGCATGTGTCATGTTATTTGCCACTGCGTGTCGAAATCCACTGATTTCACAATAGACTGTACCGTTTGCTTCACAAGCTGTGTGCAGCAGCTCTCAATGTGAAGATATATTTTTATTTATTTCTAGTTCATTATGTTATTCTTATTTTGTACACTTCTGCGTACTTTGTGCTACAGAAACGGTTATAGTACCAAAACTTTTTCTGGAGACGTATGCTTATGCTTTTCTTTTTTTGTAACTTTCATCCATTCACCTGATTGGTGGGAATCAAACTCAGCAGATTTAGACATGACTGTAAAAGACAGTGATATAAGCAGACTGAGTGGTATAGAAACAAGCAGGCACACAAGCTGACACCAATCAGAAACTGCTTTGAATATTTCAAATATTTTTAAGCATTTCGGGCAAAATCTTCACATTTTCTGCATTCACATTGCTTTTTTTTTTTTTAGTTAGTTACTGTTGCCTCACTTAATATTTTCTCTTTTTCTGACTATACTCTAAACTGTAGAGATGGTTGTGTGGGAAAATCCCAGTAGACTAGCTCATCTGGGACCAACAACCAACAACTATGTTACGTTCAGAGTCCCTAAATCACTTTTTTCTTTCTCATTCTGATTCTCGGTTTGAACTTCAGGAGGTTGTCTTGACCATGTCTGCACAAATAAATGGACTGAGCTACTGCCATATGATTGGCTGCTTAGATCTTTCCATTAAGGAGCTCTGTGGTGCGCCTAATAAAGTGACGGGGAATTGTGTCTATAAAACAGTCTTCATTCACAATGTAGTGCTATTAAAATGATTTTCAAATAATAATGTTAACTTAAGATAATTTATTACAAAAAAATTGTTTATTTCTTAAGATATCCATCATTTTGTTTATTAACTTTAATTTATTAAGAGACCTTTAGCATTCGTTGGTATATATGTAACAACTTGGAGGTTCAATGTGGAACGTCTTCTGAACACAGAGGTGAAGTCTTAATTTCCCAAAGTCCTTGAATGCAGCATCACCCAGTCGCTTTTTGATGTCGTCATCGTCGCCTGGTAATTTTCGCCGCCCGGACAAAACACGACTAATTTTATTAAAGAATAAAACAAAAGTACACTACCGTCTGCAACCATGTCTGTGAATTATGCAGCTGGACTCACCCCTTACGCAAACAAAGGTGTCTGCGGACTTCCTGAGGTAACTGAAGCTTTAAGAGCAGGTAGCTAGCAGGTTAGCCGCGGACGTTTGTCGTATAGTCCGTTTGGAGAGCTTGGTCTTTAAAAACGGCAACATCCGAGAGTAACACGAAGAGCTTCTGTTTGTCTCCAAGCATTAGATAATAATCCACGAGTGATATCACATTAGTTATACGTATTTTATTAGGCAGTGCACAGATCGTATACTGATACTATCTTCAGCACACACGTATAGATCTGAAAGCTACAAGGGGAGGGGGTTAGAGGAGTCACAAGTACCAGCACTTCAAAACTGTCAGTGTTTCTTTTAAATTAGTGCTGAGCTGTAATAAACTGTGTTATAGCTGTGTGCTTGTACCTTTTGTCAAACAGACTTATTCATTGTAATTTGATTTGAACGTGGTTCTCTCGGTCAGCTCTTGAAGTCGCATTTTTCTCTTCTGCTGCAGCACTTTGATAATCCTGAGGAGCTGAAGGCCAAGGTGGAGACTCTAGCTCAGCTGATTAAAGAATCTCAGTACTTGGTTGTCCACTCGGGAGCTGGGATCAGCACCTCGGCAGGTATCCCCGACTTCAGGTGAGACAAGAACAAAAGTGTTTTTGTTTTGTTTTTTATGTTGACGTGCAGTTTTTTGCATAGACCTCTAGCCAAGTTACATTTTCTTTTAGAAGTGCAAAGAAGGAAACACAGTTCCAACAAAAACAAATATTATGTTTGTTTTCTGGAGCCCAAATCTTAAGAAAAGAAAACACAAGACATACTTAATTTATCTCAGATTTGGGAAGTTCTTTTCTTACAGCAGGTCAAAATCATCACCATCGTCACCTTGGCAGATGATACAGTTGGGACACTGAGTAAAATGTGAATAAAAACAGTCTAATTATTTGCAAATCTCATAAACCCACATTTTTTTTCACAACAGAACAGTAAACAGTTAAAGTGTTTAAATTCAGACATTTTACTACTTCACGTAAAATATTAGCTAATTTTGAATTTAATGGCAGCAGAGCAAATAAAAAATTTGGAGTCACATGCTTTGATTTTAATGATGCACCAGATGTTTTTCCACCAAGACTCTTCTACTGTGAATCTATGCCATTGTGATAGATGCAGTATCCACAGAAGATGCCGCCTAGTTGTTAATTAAAATAGATGTAGCGTCTGATTGTTTTGATTTTATTGTTTTTTATTGTTGCAGTTAAGAAATTTTATCAGTTTAAAAAAGGTCAGTGTTACCAATTCATTCCTATTATTATAATGCTGTTAATTTAGAGTTTTGATCAGCAGTGATTAAAACTGGCAGTAAAACCTCACTGTTGCTTAATGATAAAATCTTCCAAGTGTGTTTTATCCTTTGAGCCCGAAGTTGGCCAGTGTTGCTTCACGGTTTTGTCACTGAATATTTTTCAGATGGAAATTTTATACTTTAATTGACCTTAAAGAGTGAAGTCATGAAATTTAATAGGCAGCACAAATGAATGATTCTGATTGTTTGTTTGTTTTTAATTTGTTTAATTGTTCTCTTATGAATAGCACATATTAGCATCATCAAATATCATAGCTACAGAAATTGTTACTGTGTGCAGAAAAGCTGTGTTGTGCGGTCATGAGCTCCACCAACTAAGAACAGCCATGCACCACCACCCACAGGATCCAGAAATAGCTATCAAGCTGTCCCTTCCATGTCTGGGCCGGGTGAGGTTTCCTGTGTTGAGTCCAATTAAGTCGGGACTATGACAATATTTGATCGTTTTTGAACCTTGTTCTTGACAGTCGGAGAGGTCACGAGATAGAGAAGGTCATCTACCAATTAGTAGGTTGGTAGTTCGATCTCTGGCTGCTCCAGTCTGCATGCCAAATATTCTTTGGCAAGATCCTAACCCCAAATTGGTCTCCAGTGTAAGTAAGCGCTTAAGCATAGGGGGAGAAAAGTGCTCGTGTAAATGAGGCATGTTGGGAGAATAGAAAGCGCTATATAAGAATCAATATATTCACTGTGAGCTGAGCTGAGCATTTCTGACCCCTTTTTGGTATTTTGGGAGATGTAACAAGCACCTCTCGGCTTATTCTCCTGTTTCTCTTGTAGTACCGTGATTTGAGCAGAGGAGGGTGGTGCTTGCTTACTTCACATAAGGTCTAGCACTGTGTAACACACACTGAAAATATAATGGAAAATACTTCTATTGTCTACTTAGATTGTCTTTGGTACTGTGGCAAATGTTTGCCTCCCGAATGCAGAGATGTGGAGCGGTTGGAGCTCTTCATTGTAGACATTCAGTTGTACTATGGATTATGTGAATTCACACAAACGCATAAATACTCGGATGTGAAGGCAAATTAATATTTCATTGCTTCGCCTGTCAGTCAGGTGGAGTTGACCTTGGAGGGTTTATCATTAGAGCCAAGATTAAAACATACACATAAAGCTCACTAATGCAAACTGTGTTCCTTCTGCTGCTCAGACACACATAAACACACGTACTCCAGATCAGAAGAAATTCAGCTCATTAAGTTACGGTTACTGACACGTTAATATGTAAATGTAACAGCTTCACAGACTCAGTGGCTCTAATGTCGCGCAGCATCGTTCACGAGATGATTAGGGTGTTGTATTCGACGCACGCATCACTCCCTCACCGCTGATGAGGCTTTGAGCCGGTCGGCTAAAAGACGGGGTTTTTAAAGTCCAAGCTGAGAGCAAAAGATGAGACATGTGGTTGTATTTTTGGATTTGTAGGATGCGCTCTATCGTCTGATACTTAATGATAAGTTGCATGCCCTCAGAGTAACTTGGCAACTGTCACGGTGTTAGACAGCTCCAGCAGCGAGTGTACCACTGCGTTCATCCGACCATTCAGACATCCACAACTGACAGATAATCACAGGAGCAGAAACGGAGCAATTTCACATTGAACATCATCCACATAGTCAACAAAAGTTTTCCTCTCACATTAGACTGTGATGATTTATTTTTGTTGTTGTTTAAAATGATCGCTCTGATTTTTTTTCTTACTTTATATATATTTGCAGTGGTTTTATTGGTCTTAGACTAACAATAATGTCAATTTCATACAGATATTCTGTAGAGCTTCTCTACAGAAACCTTTCCAATGGGTTTATTGTTACACACACCTGATGTAAAGCCTCTAGTCCACTATATTACAACCTATCCAGTCCCATTTATGCTCACTCCGTGTATTTATAATCTTTATTTTTTTTCAGGGGACCCAAGGGTGTGTGGACTCTTGAAGAAAAGGGTGAGTCACCTCATTTTGATACCACATTTGAAGATGCTCGCCCAAGCTTCACTCACATGGCTCTCCTGGGACTGCAGAGGGCAGGGTACCTCAAATATCTCATCAGCCAGAATGTGGACGGCCTGCATGTGCGATCAGGCTTCCCCAGGTAATTTAAATCGTAGAGACATTGCTATTCTCTATACGCGACTATACAGTATATGTCAGATCTTAAGAATATCACTAACTTTCACGATGAATGCTTTGGAGCTGAAGCAGAATGAATGGAGGAGGTGTAAAGTAGCTCTTTAGCTTTCAGCCTGACTTGTTTATGAAATCCATGCAGCAACCACATTACTGTTGTTTTTCCCCAATCATATCAATTCATTCCCACATGTGACTCATTGTGTAAATTTTGAAGCTGCTGCTGTGTGATAACAGCTGCGGTGAATAGCTTGAAATAATTTTCAGTGCAATGGAAAATGTTTGGTCTGAGTCTGGGTTACACAGCCATGTTGGACTAACCCAAGGCCAGGAGTCCTATTTTTAATTCAGCACATACATCCGGCCTTTATGCATATTGGAAGGCTTGCTTTCCCTGGAAGACGTTTTTTTTTTCTTTTTCTTTTTTTTCGAAGCCTTCCTCCACCGTCGGTCAGGTTTTTTAAATGAGACCAGGCAGCGTAGCAGTGGTTCTCTGAGGAAATAATTAAGCTGGCGAAGGAAACCAGTTGAGCCTAATCGGCACAGGTGCCAGGTGATGCTCAGAAATTAATATGAGTGCTCAGAATATTTATAAGAGTCCAAGTTGAAAAGAAGGACAGAGAAAAAGTTGATCTGTAGTGTCCTCACATTACAGGTTTTTCCTGGGTCAAAATAGCCTTTGTTGGATGTTATGTACGGTAACAGGCTATGAATCGGTGGTATTTGGCTGAAATATTCACAGGTTTTTATTACACTATATTGGCAGAAGCATTTACTCAGCCATTCAAATCACTTAATCCATTGCCACAGATGTATAAAAAACCAGCACCCAGCATGCATCATGGTGTGGGGGGGCCCACATGATCAAGTTTGGTGTGGAAGAACTCTTCCAACATCAGTATCTGACCTCACAAATGCACTTTGGGAAAAATGCCAAAAAATTTCCATAAACACTCCTAAACCTCGTGGAAAGCCTTCCCGGAAGAGTTGAAGCCAGGATGTCGCTCGAGTTCATATGGGTGTAGAGGCAGTGAAACCCCAGTTAACGAACCTACTTTAAAAAGTATTTTATAACATTGGTGGTTATTTTGTTTCGGTTCTGGCACCAAAAAGTTTTATCTGCGTTGGCGACAGTGAATAACAGGAATATCATCTGCCTCTCTCTGTCAGGGATTTGTTATCAGAGCTTCATGGGAACATGTTTGTGGAGGAGTGTGAGAAGTGTGGCAGGTATGTGCATGCACACAAACACAAAAAGTTACATTTTGATATAAAAACAGGTTGTCTTACATTGAATTCACATTTCATTAGGCGCTTGTTTGGCAGTACTAGCAGCAAACCACGAGGCTGCCACATAGTGCGTAAAGCATGCAAATAAGAGGATCTGTTTATGTTTACTGCTTAAGAATGCAAGTATCCAAGGAGTCCTGCACCTTACATTTCCTACGGTCACAATGGACTTTCTACCATCTCCCTCCTGGAATTTGCACACAATCTACATGGGTAATGTGTTGATCAAAACATGCCGTGGTAGTATTCCTCTTTATGTATTCAGAGGAGTTCCATAAGTACACAGATAGTTGCTCAGAAGAGCCCTGAAGCAGATGCCTCGCAGCTGTAGAAAACCCATGCTGGTTTCCACTTCCAGCAGGTAAAAACAAAAACTGGCAACACTTAAAGACGTAAATGTAAGGAGTGGTTCCCCCTGCACACGTAAGGGATCCTAATGTGAAATGAATCTGGAAAGAGCAGGGCTGCAGCAGCTTAATCCACACTCATTATCTCCAAATGCTCTCAGTCACATTGCAGTGACTTTACTTTGTTCCAGTGACCTTCAAAGTTGTTAGATTACCGCCGGGATTAGGTGGAAAAAAAGGGGCTTGAGAATTAATGCATGTTTAAACAGGTCTGCCAGAGTTTTATGATGTGGTTAAATCCCTGAAATCTTTAGAGAACCTTTTTAGAAAGTCCACCGTTTAGGTCTAAAAGATGTGTGGTTTGAAGTAGCCACTGAGTGTCAGGCTTTGTGTAAAATTAGACCTTGCTTTGATGCCTTGGGAGCAGCTTGATCTTCTTTCTTGTAATTCATGTAAAGCTGCTGTGGACGCACTGAGAATAAAATGGAATTCTTGTTGGTTTTCCAGGCAGTACGTCCGAGAAAAGGTGATCGGTGTGATGGGCCTGAAACCAACAGGACGCTACTGTGAGGTGGTACGATCCAGAGGGCTCAGAGCGTGCAGGTGACACATGCGTAGGCTTGTGCATTTTAAAGACTCGAAAAGTGAGTCATTGTTGAATTATTATTTCCTTTGTGTTTCCTTAATACTAAAGAGGGAAGCTGATCAGCACTATACTTGACTGGGAGGATGCTCTTCCTGACAGAGACCTGAATAAAGCAGATGATGCAAGCAGGTGAGAGGTGCAGTAGTTTGAACTCCTTTTTTTTTTTTTACATTATATTGTAGATGTTCTTTGTTTAACCATCTGCTTTGATAAGGCGGAAACAGAAAATGTATGCTCTTTTCTGTCAGAGTTCCTCTGACATGTCTGGGTTTTTTTGTTTTGTTTTTTTTATCTCAATATAAAGCGAAAGCAGTAGTTCAAACACATCCTGTGAACTGAAAAATGTGGAAACTGTTTGATGATTTGCTTTAGCCTTCTGTGGCTCTGCTATTGCTCCTGACATGCAAAGAAGACCTTATTTGAAAACCTTTTTAGGGATTATATAGTACACTTTGATGTCCCCATTTTCCTCTGGAGTGTGAAAATTTTCATTCTTTCCCTCTGCAACAAAAAAACCTTCTTATTGCTTATGTGTCACCTTGATGCGCTGTTTGTAATGGATGTATTATTACTAACTAAAGTACAAAGGGGAGATTTGGAGCTCCGACCACTCTGAATTATGTGTTCATGGCAGCGGAAAAAGGTGGAAAATTAGCAAGCTGTAATCAATTTGAGGTTTAGCTGCAGTTCATGCAGTGGATTTGTCCGGGCGCAGACCTGGGAATCCGTCCGTTGCTTCCGGTTTGAAGATGAAAACGACCAAATTTGTCTGAGCTCAAGCGAGCAGGGGACAGCACAGTGCAGGAGTTCAGCATGTGTTCATTGCACAGCTGGAAATGTTGCGTGTTATGTGTGATCAGACTGTATATACTGAAATTTGATTTCTGGCTTTAGTTGTGTTTGTTTTATTTTCTTTGTGGTTTAGGATTGGAGCTGCATACACTAAGTATCTGTTTTAGTATCCGTTTTATTTATTTGTTTGCCATTTTTGCCTTTGTGACTGTTAAGAGATATATTCTAAAACACTTCTTCAGTAGAGAATCAGAGAAGAGAAACACACAGAATTTCTTGCTAGCAAGGGCAGCCTCCAGAACTCACACTCCAAGAGTGAGGCTCAGAGAGAAAAAGCCCTGAGGACTGCCCTGGTCTTTTATTTATACACTTCAGTGAGCGTTTGTTCCATACATTGAAATGTGGAGG